TTGTTGCATATGAAGATAAAAATTACTTAACGCCAGCAACTATGTTACATAAGAAATCAAATCGCTCGCCATTTAAAAATGAATGAATAGAATGTCTGTAAAATGTCGCAGGACTAACTAAAAAATCAGTGGAAAGTATCCCAAGGCCGTGATTTTGACGTATGTAAATATCATTTTGCAGTAAAAAAAAAGAATTGCATTATACAATGCCATCCCAAATTTGATCGCGATATACCAAAGGGTTCAGCAGTTAAAGGGGTTATGTGCTCACTGTATAATTAGATACATGAAATATTTTCGTTTTTATTTATATGGGTATAGTAAAACCTTGACCTTCACAAAGAACACATTCTGGTCGAATAAACAGGCACTTGAATTTACTTGCTATATTTGTAACCTTCTCGTTTAATAGTCTGTGTTGGTACCAATAAATCCGCATCCGTGTTTTGTTTGTAAAAATTGAAAAAGGCGATCACCATTTTTGAAGGCGACATTTTGTCAACAGGTTGGCCGGTAAAGTGTTATTTTCAGCTGGCATAATAGTTCACTAATTATTGATGATAATAGAAATGGCAATTGAACAAAGTTATCAGAGCAAACAGTAGAACGTGCGGCTGTTCTTTGTTTTTGTTATTTAGAGAAACAAAAGCTAATACACCTTAACCTAGTCTTTGAGGACAACAACGTTTTTTACAGATTTTACAGCAGATAAAAGAACAAACCCATTACACGCAGAAATGGGTTCGCGTCGTTTCTCAGAAAACAATGAAAAGCACAGTTTACGTTGGCCTTGGTACCGAAAACGTTTCTTCAGACAAAATTTAACCTTAAATTCGTTACACACACATTTTTTTTCCGTTGCAGAATACGTGTATCCGAAAATCTTGAAACACGTAACAAAAGTCACGATTGACACATTCGGTTAAATAAATTAACATATAAGAAAATGTGCAAGTTATCTTATTTTCGGAAGGTATACTGAGGGTCGTAGAAATTATCACACCAAGTAAATGTAAAATATATTTTATTACTATTTTGAGAAGTAGTTGAGAACAACATCAGATGATCACAGGATTATCGTACTAAATGACATAGGTGTTGTCTATCCAGGATACATACACTTTCAATAGGCGATAAGACTGATGTGGTACGGAAGATGGTTTACGTTAGTCCATTAAGAAATTAAGGTTATGTTGATTGATTTCTCCATATAGTTACTACTTACTGCCTATGCTGATTTTTTTAAGACGGTGCATTCAATATACGCGAGAATTCAATTTTAGGATTCAACATGGCCGCTGACAGATCGTCAATAAGTTTCGATTCGGCATTTTTACTTATGTTCTCGGAATATGTCCAGAAATTTCGAGACCTGCGTGGAAAATCATTTCCTCCTCTACGACAATATAAATGGCGCCTGCGGCTGATCAATGTTTACAGCGGCCACCATATTATCTAATAGCTACATGACTATCTAGAAGGCTGCTAGAGAAAAGAAACCCTTACCGAAGAAAGACAGAAGAGAATGGTGGCTGTAATGTAAATTTATTAAAGCAACACAGGCTTATTTGAATAACCATCTACGTCAGAAATAATATTTTTAAATATATTTTCTGCGTATAAAGCGAGATATTATTATAGTTCATTTTCCCTCTTGACGTAAAATTTATTATATTACGTCACCGACATAATATTTGTTTATGACATTACCTTCGTGTGTTTACTTTAGCGATTTTCTTTTTGGGCGATATTTTGTGACGATTTAGGCGCTGCTTGTTGTGTTACTAAATATTCGATAAGAAAAATCTGATCAACTTTGTTATTGTAAATGGAACGCTTGGTATATTAATTCATTTTTGAATTCTATACAAAATTCTAGACATATTTTGTTTATAATGTCCTGTACCGAAGTCTAACGTCTAACGTTCTGACATTTTTAATTTTTTATGCAAAAAATGACGATTACAAGACCTAAAATATCTGCCAATCTTTGCGTTCAGAAGCATTTATTGTGTCATTTGTAAACAAATTACCCGAATAACGGATTTCATAATAAATTTCGGTACATAATAATACAGAGAACGAGAAAAATAAGATTAAAAATGAAATTAAAAAGAACCGCGAAAAACCTTTTTTTAAAATGGAAAATACCCATTTTTATAATCTCGTTTTATTTAGTATCAAAAATTAATGAAATTTCATATAAAGTTGTGCATGCCTAATATTGTTACTTTTTGAAATATTTCCATTTAAATATTTGTCACAATTATATGCTGTTGCCATGTAAGTTCAGTTAACGTAAGGTGGCTATGAAGGCGTTTAAACAAAACAAGTGCCAGCATGCTGCTTGTGTATTATGTTTACCATAGACGAAAAGATTGATTTGTTAGAAATTACATACCGTACACTAAAAACCGGACGCTGACTTTTAGAGATTATGTGAGAAAATTTCCATTAAGGAGGCGCCCAGAAAAAAAGATCTTCGACGGGATTTACCAACACTTTAGAATGTATGAAACTTCGAAGGAAGAAAAAAGTAGACGTCGTCATATTTTGAATAATGAAGAGCAACTTAATATTTTGTTGCATTTTGCGGATACCCCTCAAGATTTAACCCGTTTTTATTAGAATTATTACACGGTAAAAATTTCTCTTTCCTTTCTTGAACATTTTGTTTTACCTTAAAACAATTTGCCTTGAAGTGAAACATTTCTTTTTAGTTTCACCTTGTAATGAGACTTTATTTTTCTTCTTTATTTGCTTTGTTTCGAAACAATTCATTTTTTAACAAAACGAATTGGCTTCATACAAGTCACTGAGAGTTCTTAATTTATGTTATTTAGCATAAAACAAACATTTGTTTCTATGGAAGCTACGACGCTCTGTCTCCCTTTAAGAAAAATCTAATCTTGAAAATTGGATTTTTACTCAAAACGACCCGGTATAAATTATCTCTGATGAAAATAATAAATATGTCACACGTTCGTCCAAAACAACCTGGCGCATTTGTCTTGAAGTAAAAAAATTAAACCCCCATTGTCTTGAATCGATACATTTTCGTAATATTTTTCTTGAACCTGTTAACACGCAGACACGCATTTCATTTAGTTGTTTATGTGATGTGGAATGAGTGTGTCGAAAAGGTGGCTTTGGTCGGCATCGCATCGGAAACGAAAATTGTGTTTTGATGTTTATTTTTGATTTGAATGTGTATCGAAATACCTAGCTCATATGGAAAACACACGTGAACTTTTGTCAGATTGAAGTGATAAAAAATTTCGAAGGAATGTTCTTTGCATTCGTAGCACTGTTAACTGTGTTATGGTTGTTATGCGTTATGTTTCCGGCAGCATAACATTTGTTTTAATTTTTTTTTCAGACTTTTAAAATATAAAACTATGTTTCTTAAAGATGTTCTCGTTTGCGGTACTTTTAAGTATGTTGCTGTTACTGTTGAATCCGAAAAAAGAAAAATAAATATTTTTGTATTTTGGTACGATTGAATTTCTTTCCATTTTTGTTCTTCACATCAAAACACCTATACTCCTATGTAAACAATACAATCATTTCTAGAAAAATATTAAATTTGCAATACTTTTATACATATAGGGCGTCCTCAAAGCCAACGATAATTCTGAAAGGGCTGATGGAAAAAGTCATAAGCATCAAGAAAAACATAAAATGGCCTTAGTAAAAAATCGATGGTTTTCGCGATATTGTCACTTTAATAAAATTTATTGAAATCGTAAACATGGATCAGATTTTCGAGTGTCACATCTAAAAAAAATTATTTCTTTTCATTTTTCACTTCTTTTCAGTTTACAACCGCGGATATTTTAATGATCAAAGACCAACGTTAAAATAAAAGTTTCAAAAACTTTAATAAGAAATCTTCATTGATTCAAAAATGAAGTAGTATACCGGGTGTTCCATTTAAAATAAGAAAGTTGGGACTCGCCCAGGAAAAATGAAACACCCTGAATATATACAATTAAAATAAATTAAAGTTTTGTAATACTCCAATTAACTTTTGTATTTAACTTTTGGCTCTATCCCTTATAGTTTCTGACATAAGGTAGTGTCCCACTCTATACAGGTAAATTTATTTGATCGTACACACGCCCATTCCAAATAATCTCGTACACCAGAGATTCTTATTAACATACGGATTAACACCCTTTCTTCGTGAGTGAATCAGCGTATTTACTTTATTATATTAATAGTTCCTTCCTTCAGATTACCTTTTTATTATTACTTATGATAGGTATAGTGGTGATTACCAGCATTATTATAACAAACGTTCACACTGGAACACTGGAAGAAGACAATTACTTACTCTGATGGCATCATAACGAGTAGTCCTTAGGTTGTTGCTATCAGAAATTATTTGGAACTAAAGTACCACCTGTTTATTATAAGCGATCATGACTAAATTATCCTTGATAATTAGTTTTTAATAATTTCCGGCGCATTCGCCGAAAAGTTAAAAGAACTACTGTCCTGTGTGGCAGGAACAAGCAACATTTTGAACTCTCTATAAATAATTGAAAGGGATAAAATAAAGCAATACAAAAAATATAACCTTCTACTTGTATGTTTTATATGGTTTCGCTGCTACAAAATTGTACATCCATTTTTTCATCAAGTGCATTCCTTCTTTAATAAGTTTGGATAATTCGTCGTGTTTTATTAATTGAGTTGAATTGAGCTAGTAGTGGGAAGCTCGTGTCGTGGATGTGGTTCAGTGCAATTCTAGTCGTCCCCTAGCGGTTGGAAGCTGGCTAGCAGTTTCCTCCTCTTTAGGAGCTGCCAGTATAAGGAAGAGCAGTCTCCCGTCAGAACTCCTACCAGCGTTGGTAGTCGTGTACGACTGAGTGACTGAAGATTCCATTATCAAAGCCCTCGACTACCCAACACTACAGCCCATGTCGACGAGAGAATATTTTGTTCATACCTAGACAGCCTCACTTCATATTGTGTATAAAAGCACCAGGTGGGGCCAAACCTGTACTTTTTCACAGTGAAGACATTTTTTCCGGGTCTCGAGTCCTCGAGTAAATGTAGAGGCTCGCAGGAGCAGGTTCATCGACGCAGTAGGTGTTTCAACTAAGCATTTGGCCCTAGATCTATATATTTTAAACGAAAGATAATGTTCTTGAATGGAGAGTTGCTTTACTTTTGTTGATGGATAATACATTTTACTTCTATCATGACGCTTTAAATTATATGATTGTATTGAATTCCTTAAAAATCCTGCAGTTTAGCAATCTATTTCAATATAGTCGTTAATTTAAATGAAATATTTAAAGATGCTCACAAAATCTGATCGGCGAGATAAGGGCAATCTCGTACCGAAGATCTTCCAATGTACAGGGAACGCAGTCGGCATTTGAATATCAATGAAACCCAAGACGACGCGACCTTCAAAATCCATAAACTCCACTCAGCCAGTATACAAACAAACCGTAAGCAACGCACCGTCGTATTTTATCAATAACTTTGGAAAAGTGGATCGCCTCGCTCTCCGTCCTCGCCCGTTTCGATTAAATCAGCGAACATATAGCCGTCTCGCTCTCCGTCGGCTTTATCAGACCAAGCAGCGCCGCCGCGGCGGCCTGCCCTTCTTCGACAGGCCGGTGCTTATCGGTTTTAGTTCAGTAGGCGCTCGCCCGCGTACGATGCTCAAATGTTACGGGTGAGTCAGGCGCGCCCGCTTGACTGTACTGACTGACTTCTCTCTCGGTTTTCGTGAATGACAGTTGTTCCTAGAAGTCGGTGTTCGTACGTCGGTACGTCGAACGGAATACCTGCGATTGGGAGTACGTATTTTCTATTCGAAATTTCGGATGAACGAACGAAACCATTCATACCATGCTCTAAACCCACCAATAAAAAAAATTCCCGATAAATGAGGGATATTTATAAGGTAATACTTATGAGCAAAGCTCCTTGCCGCAGATTCTTGGTCCAGAACGGCAAAGCGCAAGCTGAAAATATCGGGCAATTTAAATTAACCCTGCGGCATAATGGAAGTTTATTTCAGTTATCGAGTTTTACATCTTTTATTTTTTACTATATAGTTGATTATTTTGTTGCCACTAACTACAATCCAGCAAAAAAGAATTATCAAAGTTGAGCCATAAACAAATATTCAACAGGAGTAATGCTTAAGCGAACTTCATGGAAATTTGTGTAGTGTTGTGTGGATGTAAATAAGTTCGGAAAATGAGTACTTTCGAGACATTTGCCTTTAACAAGTATTTATTGTACCTCCCCTACGGATTTTAGGTTTTTTAGTATACCCGTAAATAATTCCTTAGACTTATCTATGACAAAGTGATTTTCCCACTAAAGCGATATTTTGGATATCCTCCAGATTCATGGTTTAGATATAACAAAAAATGTAAAGCATAAAAGATAACCATTCCACATGAGTGTAGGTTATTCTCAAATGGCAGGGCTCAGTGGAATATTTTGCGAAAAGAATATTTAATCATACACTAATACTTTAAGCTGAAAATTGCTTGTATAAACTTAAGTGACTATCTAAAATGAAATGAAATGAAAATTTTTTAATTTAAAACATAGATAATAAGATTGTCTGTTGTTAATGTTTCGCCCTTTTTGTCAATAAAAAGTTAAATAGACGTTATAATAATAATAATAATTATTATTATTATGTGTACTCTAAACTAGCAAATAAATCACAAAAGAAATGCGTTCGTACACATAAAGATTAACTTGTTGAAGAAGAACGATCTAAAGCGATCCAGAAATCAATCAAATCATCTCGCTTCATCATGTGATGAGACTAAATTGTTGTGGTTTGCGTACGGCTTCTTCGGGCAATTTTCTGTTAATGACGTGGTATTTGACATGCACATTTTCTCAGCCCGTTTTTTCATTGGTTTTCCATATGAAAAAATTCGAGACTAATCGAATTTGAAAGAATGCGTTTCAACTTTTTTTCACTGAGCAATTTTGAAATTGAAGTTATATTGAGAGTATTCAAAAATCTACTGTTAACAAACCAAAGAATTGAATCGGTTGAAATTATGAATAAAAGTGCATCCGCGTTCGCTCTTTTGGTGCTAGAATTGATTTTACCTGTTATATGAAGGGGGTAAATATGGTTCCACCCAATATAATTGTGCTGTGTTTAAATTACCCGCCTAAAATATCAAATATTGTAAACAAAGTCGTCAAATTGACGGTGAAGCACATATATAGTAATTAATCTCTCTCTCTCTCGGAAAAACCATTTCGTAACTTCCCGGAGAGTGTGGTACTAGGTGTGTGAGCTAGGTGCTAGCTAGTGCTAGGTGTTCCCAGCTAAAATTTCGCATTTTATATCACATTTTTACATGTCCCGAAGCAAAGCGCTCAACGATCAGCGCGAGGAACAAGTTATGAGTCACTTTTAAATAATTCCTATATTCTATCGAAAGCTTGATGACAAAATCGATATTTGCTGTTGGAAGTTAAGAAAAAAAACCATGTGGTTCCACTCGAGCGCGTTATTTGTCGAAAATGATATATGGCCGCCTATTTTTAGGCTCCGTGTCAAAATAAAAACTTGCGGCAAGGAAAAGCGTTCGGTCCGGCCCCATTTTCTCACAGACGGAGCAATTAAATGCAAAAACGGCGATAAATCGAATCGCCTCTATCTCTGCACTCGAAATCCGGCGGCGGACGGTTTTATTCGATCATAAAATGCGCATAAATCCACGCGAAATGAGCTCGACGTGGTTTTCTACCAAAGAAAAAAAAAACGACACTCTCAAATTAGGTAAACTTGCCCCGCTTTATATCTGTCGATTTCGATCTCATTATTTAATCGAATGTGCGAGAAACATTAAAAATTCAAACCTACGGTTTACATTTGATTCGATTCCGTTGATATTTATAATCCGGCGTCCGCTTGTTTTGGCGAAGGGGAAAGTGTTAATTCATTGTGGTATCAGGGAAGCATATTCCTCGAGGAATATTCCAGTGCCGTCTCATGATATTTTGTTAGCGTCTATTTCTAACGCCACACTTAAGCAATATGATTCAGCGTTCAAACAGTATTATTTGTTTTGTTTGGCTAATAGAGTCTTCTTCTTCTTCAGCCACTACACATCCACTCCTGGACATAGGCCTCTTCCAGTGATTTCCATGCCAACCTTTGCTGTGCGGTTTGCATCCAGTTTTTCCCAGCATGTCATTGAATGTCATCTATCCATCTCGCTTGAAGACGCCCCACACTTCTTTTCGTTCTCCTTGGACGCCACTGCATTAGTGTTTTGGTCTATTTCAGATTGTTTCTAGCAACGTGTCCTGCCCAACGCCACCTGAGACTCACTATCCGCTCCACAACGTCACAGACGCCTGTTCTTCTCCTTATCTCTTCGTTTCTGATCCTCTCTCTTAGGCTTACACCCAGCATTGCTCTCTCTATTGCTCTTTGACAGACTCGGAGTCGATTTGCACTGCCCACTGTAAGTCTCACAGTCTCGAGTCCGTATGTTGTTACTGGGAGGATACACATATTGCAGACCTTCTTTTTCAAATTCACTGGTATAGTCGGGTTGCGGAAGATATAGCTAAGTTTCCCGAATGCTATCCAGGTGAGATTGATTCTTCGGGTGATCTCTGCTGTCTGATTTTCTTTCCCAAGCTGGATGTTATGTCCTAGATATATATATATATATATATACATATATATATATATATATATATATATATATATATATATATATATATATATATATATATATATATATATATATATATATATATATATATATATATATATATATATATATATATATATATATATATATATATATATATATATATATATATATATATATATATATATATATATATATATATATATATATATATATATATATAGACCTTTATATTGTCAAGACTCAGAAGTTTAGTTTTTTAGAGGTTAATTTTGAGGCCTACAACTTGGGAAGCATCTTTCAGTTCTTGAATCATTGTTGTCAACTCATTTGTGTTGCTGCTGAAGAGAACGATGTCGTCCGATACCGTTCTCTTCCCATGATAAACGTTTGAATATATCTTCCATAGCTAGGGTAAATAACTTAGATGAGATTGTGTCACCTTGCCTAACGCCTCTTATCACTGGAATCTTTCCGGTGATCCAGTCTTCATTGATTCTTACATGTAGGGTGGCAGTCTCGTAGATGTATTGAAGTAAGCGAGTATATCTCCAGTCTACGCGGGCATTGTTCATTGCATTCATCACTGCCCGGATTTCGATTGAATCAAACGCCTTCTGGTAGTCTATAAAGGCCATGTGGAGTGGGACATTATATTCCGTACATTTCTCTATCAGCGTGCCTCGAGGCATTTATTCAGTAGGATTATGAGTGCTTCTTTGAGTGTCTCTCCGCCCATTTTAAGCATCTCGCTGGTGCCTTACAGTTTTTGAGTTGTTTCAGAGTTACTTCCATTTCGCCATTATCGATAGGTTCCAGTTCTTCTGATCCTACGGCTAATAGAGTACGTCCTTTTAAATTTGCTGTTAATGGGGGTGCTTCTTATGAATCTTTGAACACCATAAAGTTAGCAATTTCATTAATTTCTTAAAAAGCCGATACATCGAAAGGTCGGATAGTAACTAAATTTTTGAAAGCAATTTTTAGGCAAAGACCTTTAAAGCACAAATATGAGACATATTTTCCGATTGAGTCTTTGTCGTTACAGAAACTGACTGAGAAGGTGTTGATTTTGTTGGCTCTCATGAGGCACATGAAATGTTAACCAGTATTCTTCTTCTTCCGGTGCCATCTTCTAACGGAGGTTGGCGACCACTTAGCCTTTGTTTCGTGCAATCTCTAGTGTTTCTTAGCCAGGATTTCCTTTTTCTTCCTATGATTTCCCTGGATCCACTCGTCCTTGCGTGATAGTCTGTAGTAGTTCGTACTTATTATTTCTTAGTTTATGCCCAAGATCAGCTGTTCTTCATTAATTCCTTCCTTTCTTGTCCTATTCTTCTTAACACTTTCTAATTAGTAATTTGAATTGAGCCTTGGGAGTTCAAGTTTCTACTGCATGCAGTAGTTGTGTCTAGGTCTGAAGTTTGTAGGTTCTTGGATATTTATATTTTTCCATGCGCTCTACAGGTTTTCCAGCTGACTTTGATTGACTGGGTTTTTGGAGACAATCATGAATTTAGTTTTTACGGTATTTATTGTAAGTCCCATTTTAATGCTTTCGTTATTGACCCTGTTCACCAGTAATTGTAGGTCTTGCAGGGATTCAGTCATGATTGCTGTATCGCCACACCTCTTAACACCTTCTTGTCTTTCTCAACCAGCCCACTGGTGAAAGTACGCACCCCTACCTAACACGTCGCCGGATAGTCACTCCTTTTGTTTCCGTTTCGTTTGCTTTCACAGTGGCTGTTGGGTTTCAGTATATAAAGCATTTATAAACAGTTTTGTTGTATTCGCGACTTTTTTGGAGGAGAACTGTCATTGCTAATAATGCTTTTCTGGTTCCCATGCCTCCTCTGAAGACAAACAGTGAATTATCGAACTGTTTCTCGCATTTTCTGGATATTCCGCTTTGGATTATTTTCAGCAGGACTTTTAAGGGGTGGCACATGAGACTTATGAGTCTGTAGTCGTTTCCTGATTTCAGATTATTTGTTTTAGGTAGAGGTAAAAATGTTAACCATTATGGTGGGATGTTTTTTGATATATGTATATTGTTAAGTATGTTGGAGAGCGTGATTATATTTTCATTGTTCAGTGATTATAGAAGTTCAATTTGTATCTCATCTCGACCTGGAGTTTTT